GCTACCGACAAACAAATTTCCGTGGACTACGATGACGTGCTTCTCCTTGACCAGTCGGCGCAGGCCTCGTTCCAGCCAGTAATCCCGATCTTCGAGCCGTACGTCGTAGGTGCAGGCCCAATGTTGGATCTCGGCTCGTGACATCGCATATCGGCCGTGATACAGAACAGCACGAATCATCCGACGAAGTTTTCCGTATGTGTCAATTACCCTTACTTCGGGATCGCGGCTCTTATGCACTTCGTCAGCCACTTCGAGAACAAAGCGCCCGTCGCGAGACATCTTCTTCAGCAGGATTCCGGCGTTGATTGCGTCGCCGAGGAAGAAATCCACTCGGTCAGCTGTGAAATCGTCGTGCATGTCAATGATAAACTGTTTGACGGAAGCCATATCCACGTAGAAACCACAAATATCCGCCTCCAAAATGCAGGCGTGGGCTGCAGTATGTATCGCCAGTTGTCGACGGCTTTGCGTGGTTTCCTTGGCCGTCAAAGGTTCCGCCATGGCAAACTGGACCGATTCGCGAGTTCGCTCTTTCCAATATCGAGCATCTTCAATCGCATCCGTTTCGGGCGATGGTAAGGGCTCTCCAGCTGGTCCCATAGGCTGTGCGGACATAATGCTTGGATGATTAGAAATGATTAAAATGAAAATTCAAGGAATAAAATACGCTAGTAAAATAAAAAACAGAAAGATTCCGTCACCGAAAAAGGATAAATGTTGTTGGGTTCTTCACTTTTAGTGATGAACAGCTGATATTTTCTGTGCTGGTAAACCGGCATTCTGTCGCGTGTCAGCCGCCCTGTTAAGGCAATGCTATCGGAAACTATGTAGTTTTCGATCTCTGCTCTGAATATTTCCCAGCTGCGTGTTTTGGCCTTGGCTTTCCTGTTTCGAGTTTCTTTGGTCACCATCATTGGTGTTTTGTATTAAAACCTGGTTTTTGTGGTGGTAATTTATAAATCTTTGGTGAAACGAGCGGTATTCTGTGTGATCTAAGTTAAATAATCAAAGTGGGTACAAAAATCACAAAACTCGGTCTGTCGCCTGTCAACCGCCTAGTGGTATACTCAGTGAATTTTGCGTTTCCGATGTCGGTGTCGGTACCAGCTGAAATTATTTGTTGTCCTTTTCCTTGCACTTCAGTTCTCTTGTTTTCCGATCCTGCTGGTATTGATTCTCATTTTAATTATCCGTTCTTTTGCGATTTGTCATTTTTAAGTTCTGAGAATGTCACCTCCTGCAAAGAAGCCAACTGCGCGGAAGACCGCATCGCGTACACCGCGCCCGAGTCGTGCAACTGCGGGATTGAGTTTTGGTTATTCTCCTGACAGCGATGAAGCCCGTTCTTCATCGCGCGCCACTCGATCTCGAGTTTCTCGCCGTTCTTCCGCCCAACCAGTGTTTGCTGCGCAATCCCCGGGACGATCTGGACGTGCGAGTGCAGCAGTGGTTCAGCAGCCTTCAACGAGTCGGGCAGGCGCGGTCGTGGATGCTTTACAGCGCCGTTATGACAAACAGAGGCGACGCACAATCCTTCGCCGCAATGCTGCTGTGGTTCGCCGTCATGCAGGCCGAGGATCATTCCCTGCCAATCCTGACGTTGAGATTCGTCAGCCATCACCGAAGAAATTGCAGACACAAGCGGAGAGACAGTTGGGTACGCCGGATCTTACAGAAGAAGAGCCGTCGTCATCTGAAACCCCGTCGGTGCGAGCAAAGCGAGGTATTTTTCATATTACGTTCTTGTGGTTTCTTTTGCTAAATAGCAACGATAGCATTAATGCGGTTCTCGGTCATTTCTTCTCAGATTTATCGGCCTAAGTTTCTGGTTAATGTAGTGGTGAATCTGTTTGGTATATTTATTTGAATTAACGGATAGTTGGTCTGTGCTGTTATTTCGTATTGCTATTGCGTATCAGTGATACTGTTTAACGGGGATTAATTGGTGCTTCTTGTTTTGAACCAGATGAAGAGCATCTGCGTCAAGGTGGCATCCTCTATGTTCCGTATAACCCGGATGCACCGCGGCCGGTCTTCAAGACCAAGCAGACGGCTCGCAAACGAGCGCATTCTGGCGTATTTCCAAGAATGGCTGTGGCGCGCAAGAATGGTGAGGCTCTGGCTATCTCGCAGGCCTATTTTTCTGGCCTTAATCGTTTCCATCCTCGTTATTCTGATTTGTATTTGTCGCATTTTCTATTCCCGAATGGAACGTTGATTCATCGCTTTGATCGTTGTGTTGTTACTTCTCGGCTACCTTCACCAATTGCACTAGAGCTTCGACGGCAGTATCTTTATTTAAATCCTGTTTTTGTTGCCTTGTTTCAAGAAATCACCAAGCGTCAGAAGGCGGATGCGGTTGCGCGTCAAGCGATTGTTGATGTTGCTGCTGTGGAAAATGAGCAACCGCAGCCTTCCACTTCAGCTGCCGGCCCGTATTATTTCCGCACCCGTGGCGAAAAGCGCAAGTACAAGGAGGTTTCGCCATCCTCGTCTTCGGCGCCAAGCGAAGTTTCGGTCTCGGATGATGGTGAAGATCGTGAGGATCCTTCGGCCGTGTTATCCCCTGAGAATGCTAATGTCGAAGCTGACGAGAATGCGGACATGGTAGTTGATTGTGAGGGCAACGATGGATCTGACTTGGAGAAGACGGATGTAGATCCGTTGCCGTCTCTGCAGCCGGCTGTCCCAGCTGTGCCACCTGTTGCTGCTGTCGCCCGTGAGGACTCGCCAGAAATTGCGGAACCAGTAGCTTACGGTCAACAGCAGCCACACTCTGATGAATTGTGAACTTGCTATTTCTGATTTTTATCCTTCCTGCTATACATTGGCTAGAATTTGATGATCTGTCCTTTCGTTTTGATCTTAATTCGCATTTACCTGGCCAAATTTCGCGATTTATTTTTATTCGGTAGCCTTTTTGTACCACCTAGGGAATTTTGCGTTTATTTTTATCCAATTTTTATTTTTCGATTTTATGCGCTTTTTGAGTCAATGAACTGGTCGTTAGTATTTGTATCTGCGCTGTAGATAGCGCTGAATCTTCTGTTGTACCTGGATAGATCTGATCGGATGATTAAGTTGAATTAAAGGATATAGCGCGAAGCGCTGATTGGTTGTTTTGCTTACCTGTATGGAATCTGCCGCACTTTAAAATTTCGCTCTAGCAAACGCGTATAAAATCACTTGCGAGTGGCGTGCAGAAATCGGCATTGTGGATTTTTCGTTTCGGCACAGTAGCGTATTAGAATTTACGTTCTCTTGCGAAGTGTGATTTTGACGCTTTTCTCTTTACACTTTAGCGTTAAAGGTCATTCGTTTTCGTTAATTTGGGCATGCCGCCTATTGATCCTAACCGTGCTTTCGATAAATTGGTAGACGCCATTTTTCATTCGTCTTCCAACCAGCAGCAGCAGTACAATGCCGGTTATAATCACCGAGGAAGGGGTGGAGCCCGTGGTGCTTTCCGTGGCAACTTTCGTCCGTACGGCAGAGGAAATCATCGGAATTCTGGAGACAATAATCTCCGTCGCGGAAACGATAACTGGCGTCGTAATGGGAGACATCTGGGCGCACCGGAGGTTATTGAAATACCTGATGGAGCTCCTCACCCAGCTGCACCAGTGGAAGCTCCCGCCGCAAACATGGAGGTTGATGACCCGGGAAACCAAGCGGCGAATGCACCGAATCAGGGCCAAGTCGGCGGAGCTGTGGTTCCAGGTCAGCCCGATGCTGTCAACCCTGCTGTCGGTTTACATGGCCCGGCAGCCTTGAATGTTGTCCCTCCGGCAGTCATTCCACCTGTGCAGCAGCAGGCCCCGCAGAACGCTGAATTTCCGGGTTTGCCACCAAATGTGTTGCCGTTAGCTGAAGTGCCGATTGTCCGCGATGCCCGCGACCGCTCTCCGGCTGATCGCCCTCGTGCGCCGTCCGCACCTTCCGGTCCTGTTGGATCAGCTGAGCATAATTTTGTGCCTGCTTATTTGGCCCAGCAGCAGCCGCGTGAATTGGATGCTGATCGCCGACGACAGATGGCTGCGGAAGTGTCTCGTCGTTTGGATGCCGCTGCGTCTGGCTCTGGTATTACTGGTTTGTTTTCATTGGCTCCCAGTGCTGGCAAGTAACCTTGACTCACCTTTGCCCTTGATCTTTTGTTTTCCTTGATCTCACCCGTATTACTGCTTACCGTGTTGTTTTGTGAATCATTTTGATGCACTGTAGCCGTGCGAATTTTTCTCTTGTTCCTGCTTTTTACTAGTTGCCATTTTGCACCGGCTTGTTTGTAATTTGCGCTCATGGTCTTTTGCCATCTCCTTGTTTGTTGTTGTTGACCTTGTTATTCTGATGCAATCTGGATTGGAGAATTCGTAAGAATACCAGTCGGATAATTTATTGCTCCGTTCAGCTTCGTTCGTACGTTCAATGCATAGTAGTTCGATCACTCAACAAGCCATATTCAACTTTAAGCTTTCAATGTCACAGCTAATAAAGCTTTATGCCGTCTCCTGTACATACAATCACCAGTTAACTAAAACGGCACAGTATAAGTAATTCATAGTTCGCCTTCCTGGATCCTTGGACCTCCGCCCTGCTCAACCCGTGGACTTCCGGATGCCTCTTCGCCAAGGATTCCACACACTAACTCTCTGGGAATCGCAGCGTACAGTCACATTGGGCATCGGATGGACGCGTGGATTGTGCGGTGGATCGGGATCAGGAGCGATGGAAGTGCACAATCGCACTGGGATGTTGCGGGATGGATTGTTTATATTGGCACGGCCAAGCTTCGTTCGTGGGGGTGACGTGTGGGAATAGGATCACACGCCGGAGTACGTACGGATGCTGACTGTCCGCCTTCCACCTGCAACACAAACGGATAATCTAGTCAATCTCTTCTGTGATTTGCTGTTCTCTTTTACTAGCGATGTATGTGATGTCATAACGCGAAGTCTATATAAGTTCTTGTGATGCCTAATATCGGAATCAGTAGTCTGAGTTTCACTTCTGAGACTGCTTCCTAATGACAATTTCCTAGCGTTGTGAACTGTGGTGTGAATTGGATAAAGAGACAGCAATACTTGTTCCTTCTGATGTACATGATCGTTCCCGGATTATTGCATAGAATACAGGTTTGCTCGTGACACAATCGTCCTAGCTCTTGCCAATCCTCGCAGGACTCGCGACCGGAAGTTGTGATTAGCTCGTTCCTGAGGGATTCCTGAATTCTTGTGTTCCTGGATCGTTCGTCATTTCTCTACCATAGTTCTTCTGTTACAGTTTGAGAGTACGAGTGCCTACCGACTGACATTTACAGGCGTGGAAGAGTAAAGATAGTTCATGGAGCCTTAATCGGCGTGAACGCTTATACACGACAAAGTGTTGGGCTGCGCGAAAGCGTTTTTTTTTTGCGCGAATAATTCTTGAACATCTATCTATAAATGAATTTGGTAGTATGTTCCGGCACACTTTTCTTAACCTTTATTTTATTTGGGCAGGAGGTTTGATCTAGGCTCCGGTCCTAACTCAATGCGTCCACCATACCCAGACACCCTGGAGATCTACGAAGAACAGTATGGCAGCCGCAGACTGGTCAAAAGCATGAGGGGGTACCAATCAGCGCTGAGCAATCCGACGTCCGTTGCCCAGCTGCTGTCGTACTACACTCACCAGCCATCGTTCTCCCTTCAGTATCTCCGACAGGGGCAGGGGTCCGTGCTCTTGCACGAAGTGCTGATTGACTTTGTTGTTGTCGAAGGTAAGCAGCAAGCGGAGATAACAAACATGGCACAGTTCAATTTCCATTGCGTACCCCCGTTAATTACAAAAATACAGATAATATTATAAGAACTAGTGGACCCCGCGCAAATTGCGCGAAGTAAATTAGTGGTTGATAACTGCACGAACTATGGAGACCTACTCGTACAATACTGTACTTATTTTCGTTATTATAAATGGCACGATAGTAAAAATTACGTACTTATCTGCAGTCGTGATAATGAACAGCCAGCCAAACAACCAAAAATACTTGCGCGATTGCACCGTTTAAAACATTTGAAAACTAATTAATAATTTGACCACTCCGTTCACCACTTCTCATTGCCCTTCAATCGTACTCTTTCTGTACACAAAAAAGTTTGAAACTTTCGAATTCGGTACTCGTACTACTTTTCCTTCCGTTCATTGCGGTACTGGTTGCCCAACGGTCCAAGACAAAATTCCCTTCGCCTGATATTTGCATTTGCATTAACCACACTTGTTTAAAATATTTCTGTACTTTACATTCACTTTCATTTTTTAAGATATTTCGAAAGTATATGTTTCGTAAATGTCCGAAATATGTATGCTGCTAGATACTTTAAACAGTCGGACAAAATACCATTATGTTGTCGCGCAGTGAATTTCTGGACGTAGAATTGGGAATAATTTCCGAAATTCAGAGGAATTCTAAAAGCAAATCTAATTTTCGACTTTCGCCAATTTTGGGATTGCTGTGTATTATTAGTTCGTGTGAATTCGGAATTTGTCTATTACTGTGCCACGCAAACCGCTTGTGTCGTGTCGACCGGTGTCACCTGCCTGAGTGCCTGTGAAACTATCAAATTTGGTAACATGAGGTTTGAAACCCGAACGGCGGCAAAGCTCACAAGAAGTTTTCACGTTTACAAAAACTGAGCATAACAAACACAAAAATTTCCCGGTTTTTTTCAGTTTTTGCTTGTAGCAATTTCCACAGATATTGCGAAACTTCGCAGCCCAGCAGCAGCAACTGCACAAATTTCATAACTGGAATAGCAGTCAGATTACTATGTGTAGTTTTTTTACAGTACGTTTTAAATAATCTGTAGAAATCACAACTGGACAAACTTTAAAGTTTAAAGGTGTGCATTTTACCTTCAACAATTTAAACGCAATTTGAACGAACTCGACTACGTACAAACCGGATAAGGTGTTGCAAGCTGCAGCCGTAAGTAAGTACTTCTTCGCAGTTTAATACGGTAAAATCAGTAGACCCCACAACCTGCGCAAGGTGGCAGCTACATATTTACTTAGCTGCGCTCTGCTAACTGGTTTTTGACGCCCCGTAGACTTTCCATGTTAGAGTTTTAATTTTTTCTCAAAACTGTTTACGTTTTTCTGGAATCTGATAACTTTGTACAAATCTACACATTCAGGGCTATCGAACGGTACATAGACATTCAAGTTTGGTTGAACGTGTCTATGACTTAGACCCTGACACACGCAGATTTCGTGCACCTTCTTATTCTTTTATATAGATAGATTATAGTTCATTTTTTCAAGTTTACTCATACGTGAAATGTATGGAAACCCCCTAAAGCAGTGTTTGTTTTGTCCCAAAAAAAAGCAAAATTGTCGTGGAAATGTTTTTGTCGTAATCGGACTTCAAACAGCTGTATATGCCGATATAAATTACGTCATTTTCGTGCAAGATTTTTACGTTTTTCATCTTAATACGTGCGTTATGTGATAGTTGTTAATCATGATAAAGCAATAGCTGACGTTCTAGTAATAATATAATAATAATCTGGTAATAGTTATAATAATTGTGCGCTACGTTATCAGGTTTTATGACCGGTGTCGATATGGCAGGTTTTATGGCCGTTGATGAAACGGTGTCGAGATATGCTGTAATTACCGCATGCATCACACCTTTGTAAACAGTGATTCTTTACTACCTGTCTTTATTCCACTGACTCTAGGCTATCAGCCCAACATTTCAGATTAGAATTACATCGCACAGCATCAAATTAACAAACAGCGGAAACAGGCAGCCAAATTGCAAAATCATTTTATCTAGAATTAGCCGAGGCTGGTGCCGTTCCCAGAATGGATGCCGCGATTCCTTTCTATATTTATCAGTTAATGGATCTGCGGCCACTTTTGTCAGCTCACATTAATTGCTGTGTTTGTCGAGCATAATCTGTCCTGAGTGTCCTCATAACACCAGCTACAGAGTATGTGAAGAAAAATGTAAAAATGTCACTGATAAGAGATATCAGTCGGAGCCGAAAGTAGCTCTTCCGGTCGGCCATGCATACATAATAACAATAATAACGGAAGCTTATTGTCCTTAATTGCACGCGTGTATCACATGGCACATTGTATGTTCCACTCATCCGAAACATACAAGTCTTTTGTTCCATACAATTCCATCTGGTACCGTACACATTTCGTCTAATATCGCGTATGTCGTTGTATTTATTGTAATTTTGATCAAGTACCTTTATCGCGTTCGTTACCTTTAAATAATTTTATCGTTGTGATACTTTATACTTCACCAATCAAACATAAAATGTTTTGAAAAATTGTGATTAACGCAAAGGGCACCGCGTTTTGATTAAGTATGTAATTAAGTAATTTATAATGCATAATGTTATCAAGAGGGAAATGAAGATTAGATTTCACTGCATTTTAGGTTCTTCCAATCCCGGGAACACCTACTGCAGCGCCCTGCGCGGTTACGTTAATAGTGACTATATATGTGACCACGATTACGAGACGGATCGCTGCAACTGTCCGTCTAGCTACACTGACACTCCTTTCCCGAATCCGGCAAACGCGCGCGATGCAATCTGTGGCCCAACTACTCAGTACAGTACGTGCTCGATCTGATTAACCGACCTCATGTCAATGTTAATTCATTGGCGTATTGCAGCCAAGACTGTCTCCGTTGGCAAGGTTATCGGAGTCCTTGCGGGAGTCGCAGGTTTTATTTGTATTATCCTTGGTGTGAACCACTATTTTCGGCGCCGACGTCGCCTGCGAGCCGCGTATGCACCGTATCAGCGGTTGCTGTCTTACCAAAACACCCCGCCATCTTACAGTTAGCAGGCATATGCGCTGCCGTACTGCAGTGGCAGCCACCCAATACGGGACAAAACACCGAGACCTGTACTTATATGCCGCCTCAATAAGTTGTGAACATATCATGCCAAAGAAATCAACAAATGCTGATTTTCCCATGTTTCCCATATTTGTAATCCATTGATCTTTTCAGCACGTTATGGTTTCTGCTAAAATCGTACAGTTTTACATTTCTGCTACAATTTCTTCGACGGACCCAAAGTCGGGTACACCTATCTATTCTTGTGGCATCATAATAAGTATAATAATAACTTCTCATGAATTGACCGAAAGTAAAGCTAAGTCTAAAATTTTTAACGTGGCTCGGTGATTTCTTCAGTGTTTAAATGCCAACGTAAATCTTTCTAGTTCGAAAATTGTTTAAAGTAATTCGGATTTTTGAAGTGCGTTTTTTGAAGCTCCATACTGCATACACCAGGCGAATTGCGCTGTAATGTTTACCAACAGACCGGAAGAAAAACCAGCTGGGAAAAACCGTAAACAATATGTAAACAGCCGTTACATAAACTTTTAACAAAAATCCATATACAGGAAGAAACTACCAAAAACAACCAAGTAATGCTGTAAACGACCAATGGAAGTACAATAATAACAAGAAATCAAAGCCACCGAGAAACAACCTACAAACATCTACATTGTTAACAATTTAGGAGGAATTCAGTGCAGACTGTCTTGTACGACGGTACTGGACAGTGCCAGCTGCGGCTCGGCGTCCAGCGACCGCTCGGGGTGGCGAACGGTCAGATGGTAGGCGAACATCCCGCGGCGAACGAATCCCTGCTGACACTCCTCGCACTGGTACGGGAACTCGGTGTAGTGCTTCGTTTTCTGCGGGGGAACGTAGTCTTTCGTCACAGCCTGTTTCTTCTCCCCGGCACCCGGGTTTTTCCGAAGATCCACCTTCCCTTCCGCATGCACGCGCTCTTTGTGATTCAGTAAATGGCGACGAGAGAAGAAACTCTTCCCGCATTCACAGACCATATCCCTAGTCGCCTTGTGCACGAATTCCCGGTGTTTCTGCATTCCATGCTTCTGCTTGAAGACTTTCCCGCAGATGTCGCACGGGAACTGGCCGATATCGCGGTGCATGCGGCGCAGATGGTGCCGGAAGTTTCGGAAGCTGTATTTGCAGGTGGCCGGGAATTTTTTATCACACAGCGTGCACAGCAGCATCCCGTCCACCGAGTGCGACTGCTTGAAATGATTGTACAGTGGTACGGTGGTGGGAAATGTCTCCTCGCATACAGGCATTTGACGGTATTGCCATGGTGCGTCTGCAATAAACCGGCACCAGTGATCAAATATGCTTGAGTGTAGTTTTGCACGCTTTGATGCACATATGTAAATGTTAATAAAATTACTGTTATTGCTGCTAGTACGTTTATTCATGCATTAATCTGGTTATTATCCGATCTTCTTGAAACTTTGCGGTAAAAGCCAGTAAGCCACATAGTAAACACATAGTCACAGCCACAATCAGCTGTATACAGTGCAATGAATCAATCTCTTTTCAAGTTTTCATGCAAAGCTACAACGGATTGGATAGTTAACAGCCTTCTGTTGGTGCACTAAGACGCTAATTTTGTCCAGATACACCATGTTTATACAGTTGCCGGGTGGTTATCATGGTAATTCGTTTAGTTATTAGAAAATTTCCCAAGTCATACCCTCATATGACGGACGTAATAAGTATTGCCGGTGAACTTCCGGTGGCACGTGGGGCACTCATACGGCTTCTCGGCATCATCCAACAGATGAATCTGCTGAATGTGCCGTTCCAGTCGTTGGAACGTCACGAAGGAGCGTTGACATCGCGGACAGACGTGCAGATCTTTCCGTGCGTGACAGTTATCCACGTGCTCTACCAGTGTCCGGACGTTCCCCGTGGAGAAGGTACAAAGTGGACACTGCTGCACCTGTAGTTGGATAAATAATAATTCCCCATATAATCTGCCCATAGCCTGGTGGTAGTACGTCTGGCTTTAGGATTGTATACCGCAGATTCGGCAGGTGACTTTTATCTCAAAATCAGACCAAAAGGCGTATAAAATATTTCTAAATTCACCCAAAAAACTTCCTAATACCCTGGTAAAAGGTCTCGATTTGGATATTATACATTTATGATTTGGATAATGTAGCAATAACACTATAATAATACTAACCTCTGCGGTCTCTTTATCGAAAGTACCAAAGTCTGCGCGATGCTGCAACGCATGCACCTGCTGCACCGCACATGTCGCGAACTGCATTTTACAGGTTCTGCACGCACGATCGGTACCGCGGTAACGTTTAGTCTTCTCGTTAGCCTTTTTCTGCATTTTTTCCGGTTGTTCGTCCGACAGGGAATAATGCTCCGCATCCACGTGATCAATCAGTGCCGGCCAATCTTCCGCTTGGTGGTCGCACTCGGGGCACACAATCCGCTGTCCACTCGTTGTCGGGAGAATTCCGTCGGTGCGATGCCGCAGGTGGTGAATGTCATGAGTGATTTTCAGCCGGAAATTGATTGGGCATCCGGCGGTGCATGGAAAGTGCCCGTGTGAAGCATTAACAGGCGGCCAGACACGGATCTGCAACGCCTTTCTCGTCAGGAAATCAAGGGCCTCATCCAGATTTTCCGCCGGCACTGATAATAACGGTTCGTCAGATGATTCTTTGGCGCTGCCGGGAAGAGGTGGGGCGAGAGTGTCCGAGTCTGTCGCGCTCTGTGTTGGATATTCTGAAAAATAAGTAATAACATAGCGCTCTTATTTGTCTTATTAAAAAATTAATTAATGGCTGATTTACAATTTCTTTAATATCTTTAATGATTTATTTATGACCCTTTATTCAGAATAATCCATTCGATTACTCAATATGTATAATTAGACTAAAAATTTCCACGGCTATAACCAGACACTACTGCTTTAAAATTTAGTAAGTATCTGTACAGTATTACCAATAATACCAAAACATCCAACACCGCGTTTAGCGTTATCACGCCGTAAGGCCTTATTTCTTCGGTTGCATTTACTGTTTATTTTGTATTATTATTTGTTCAGATATATTTTAGAAACTTTACTGTCAAGGCGGGCTTATGATTCAGCCCTTCTGTCATTGGCTGGTTTTGGGTTTTTTCCTGTCTGGGCATTCGCATGCTTTTGACGGCCTGCAACACAGCTGTGCTGGCTGCAGGATCCGTTTTTGGCCAGTTGGTTTTTGGCTGGCGCGCAAGGCGCGGTGTGTGTGTCAGATTTCGGCATTAAAGCCTTCATCCGGGTTTGCTTTGTTCCGCTGTCGATGGAGGATGCGCGCTTAGCCAGCGCCATCTGATAAGTCAGAGGCTGCCATAAAGACGGCTGTCCGTGGGTATCTCCGCGAGGAGGGCGGCCAGATGAAAGAACTTCCTGTTGAGGAAATTCTGAAAAATGGCGACGGCGCGGAATCGAACCGCTGGCTATTGAGTGTGTGATCCACGTAGCACAGCCACTGTGCCATCGCCGTTGTTGGCTGAGATCAAGATATTTGTGCTTGAGCTTGAGACAACCAGGTAGGCGGCGGATGGAGCGGCTGTCCTGAGGGCAGAGCCTTCTGCTCTGACATTACTTTAAATATTTTTAATTTATTGAGGCGCGCACTACGCCGAACGTAATTCAGCTTGGAGCAATTTAATGACCTTTCTCAATGTAGGGTAATCAAAGTAAAGTATACCTTCGTTCATACTGCGTTTGAGCTGCCAAGCTCCCTTTAAAGTCATCAATGGATGTCCAGTGCGCTGCAGGTACCTTTTGACACTCTCCTTGTCTAACTCCAAACAGCGAACCTTCCCCCGGAGGCGCTTGGGGCTGTAGTCACCACCGTACTGACCACTCCGCTCAGTAAAGCAGCCACCGTACGGCGACCTGTTCAGAGAAATCCTTCGACCAGAAGATTTCGTTAAATATTTCAAACTTCTTACATTTAATCACACTTTTCTAATAAATTTTGTAGTTCCATTCACCAGCTATTTTAAATTTTGTACTTGCCTTGAGATGCCGCACATAGGGCGGGTTAGACGAGAATTTCTTATGGCACGTTGGACACTCCAAAGGCTTTTCCGCATCGGTCAGGAGATGTTTATGCTGAATGTGCCGCTCCAATCGTCAGTAGGAGATGAAGGAGCGTTGACAGCGCGGACACTGGTGTAAACCTTTCCGCGAATGCCGCTCGTCCACGTGCGCGATCAACGTCGCCCGCCTGACCGTGGAGAAGGTGCAGGCGGGGCACTGCTGCTCCTCGCCGGTATCCACTGGCAACGTTTCCTCATGCCGCCAGTAGTGGACTTCGCGGACCGTACGCGAGATGAATTCCATTTGGCATTCTTCGCATTTTGGATACGGGCATATAATTTTTGGATATGAAGCACTCTTAATCCGCTTCACGCGCCCCGATTTTATTGGCCTCAGCGCCGGACCCTAAAAAACAAATATAGGCCTTTTCGTGCTTTTAAAAACGAGGAAAATCAACAAAATATTAGCGGCTACTGAGATATCGTTATTTTTTTATTTTCTTATTCGACATTTAATTCTAAAATCCATCTAAAAACTAATTTTAAAAAAATTAAATTTTTTTTATTTCAATTCCCTTCGTCACTCTCGGACACGGACGGAACTGATATAACAAAACGGAGAAATTAAATGAAATCAATCAATGAAATCAATCAAGTCATGTCATATCAATGAGATGTATGACGAGCCGTTCGTGCAAAAAGGTTTTATGTATGTTATGTCACTTATGATATGCTTGTTATGATTGCCACTGTTGCTATGTCTCACCGGAAAGCCGCATTAGTTACTGCGGGAGCTGCCGCCGCACAGGCGGAGGATAGAAAAGCCGGATTGTACTTGTACCTACAGGGCAGATACATCTTCGTACCGCTCGCTTTTGAAACTCTTGGACCATGGGAAAAATCGGCTAGCCGTTTAGTGAAAGAAATTGGCAAGCGACTTCAACAGCATACGGGTGAGCCTCGCTCCCATGAGTACCTTCGTCAACGTCTGTCGCTGGAAATTCAGCGAGGCAACGCCGCTTCCGTTCTCGGTACAATATAAGGAGCGGCAGCATTAAATGAGATTTTGTTATTTTGATTAATTGTTTCGAAACTGTGATGTTACCGCATTTTGTGAAATAAAAACTGACACATTGCCATGTTACTCATGTTACGCTTGTTATGTATGTTAATAACGCAATGCAACGCACAATACTGTTTTGTGTTTCATTTTAAATTCTTTATATTATATTTTACTATATTGGCTTCGAATTCAGAGCGAGAAATCTTCCAAATTTACTTTTGCGCGTATAATTTTGGTGTGGGCTAAGGGCAAAAGGTGTCATAATAATACCGGTACGTGTCATACATGTGGATCATATTGAAATGGTCCTTAGCGAAGCCTTCGAAAGATTTTTCGGCAAGGTCTGCTAGAAGTTTCACTAAAAGTAAACACTTATTCTATGATTTATTTTCCTCAAAAGTAATGGCAACACGCGCTGTGGCAACTACTATGCACAAGCCGGCCCGGATGATGAGCTCGTAAAGATATCGCTCATGTATATTTGAGTGCATGAGGAATTTAACATCTACAGTATACAAATTGGTTTTTGATTTTTAGTTATATATTTACTTAATGCCTCCAATATTTATTTTTACATTATTTTTGGCAGTCACTAACCATGCCAAATGCATGTGAAGCGTAAACATTGTGGCGTGGAGCGCCGGAGTGTGTAAATTAGCGTAACCCACGAAGTAACATTTTTCGCTGTATTTAATCGTGCTTAACATCCGGGCCGACTTGTAGTGGCAAATTTATCTACAAAGGTCAACTGGCGCGTAACAAACGATTGCAACACAGGGTATTACTGAAAGAATTGCTATAAATTTTCAGAAAATATTAATTTTAAGAAACTATGAATTACTGACGTTTTTAAAAGCAATTCTTTTTGAAGCTCTGTCCTCTACTCAAACGTGCTCATTAAATTTCGGTGAAGTTTAAATGTAAACTCTAACCAGGGCACATTTTCCGGGTGTAAATTCAGCAAATTTTGATTATTTGGAGAAATATATTACCATAGTGGTAATTTATTGGGTTATTCACATTGACAGTGGTTACATTCAAATTACGCAGTTCTCATCATTTCAACACATAATAAACTTCATCCAGTCTCTTACCAGTACAAAACGTTACCTCGCATTAAAGCAACACTGATTCTCTGCTTCAGAAACTGAGTGGACCGTTTCTCCTGTGTCCTCTCAAAAAGCATCTTACCGAGTGTAGACATCTTACATTTCGATTCTTTACCCCACACGCCCATTGTTTCGAAAACCAAAGCAGAGAAGTTGAAATTATCGCCTAAATATCCGTGCTTATTGTTTTTCTTTGCCTCTGCCATGACGGCGGCAGCACCGGCCTCCTGGGACGTCTTGGCGATGTAGGAGGTGGCCATGGTGTCCGGGCAGGTGACATCCCAAACCCAAGATTTTCCTTGACTGAAGGGGACCGAGGTCATGCCGTCCGGTCGTTTCAGGGTGTCGCGGTACAGGCCTGGTGGTTCCAGAACTGAAGGAATGCTGGCCGAACCACACGCACGATGGATGACGTCTCTGATTTCGTTGTGACGAGAGATCTTCGCTTTTAGACGCTTACATCCCAACCCATGATATCCCCACACATCCACAGTGCTGCCGCATTTGCACCGGTGTTCGATACATACTGTAGCGCCGATGCGCTGCGCGATAGAGATTCTCACTTCGGTATTTGACAGCAAGGTGCCGAGGCTTGCTACTGGGACTGCGTTGAGCCACAGTCCAGATTCGGGCTGGGACACAGCTAGCAGCCGGGCTTTCTGGTTTACGGAGTTAGTGTGACGTAATAGTGCATCTTTCTGGAGGAGTACGACCGGTATGTCTCAAGCACGCTGCGAGGCACGCAAATTTTCTTCAGGTAATTCCGCGGGCCCCATTGACTTCCAAGCTTGTTCCGCACTTGCCGCATAAGGATCGCTGCACAGGTCAGTCATATGTGGCACCAGCGAGCGCACCGAGTTGACCGAGGCAAGGAATGCCGAAGATGCTAGTCGTTCAGTGCGCCGGATGCCCAAACCGCCTACCCGGACAGGTAACGATGCTTGTTCCCAGATTTCGTCAGAAATGCTCACGTTGGTAATTTCTTCCAGACTGCTGCGCACAGTAGAGTCGAATTTTTTTAGAATTTCCGGAAAACTGAAGGCTTCGCTGGTTCGTAAAAGATGCATCAGTTTAGGGACGGACCGGCAATTCTTCAGGAGGAAAAATGCCTGATGGGATGGCAAAAGTGGCAGACGAGATATCATCTTGTTTACCATGCTGATTTTCTCTTCCAACAGTGGGACGACCGATTCTCGTGTGATCCCTGCACCAAGGAGGATGACGTCTTGCTCGGTGAGGCGCTTCATACTTGGGTAACGCTGGACGAAAGCCGCTTCGGTCTGCGCGCGCTGTTCCGGGCTTCCTCCGCAGATGTAGTACTCACATTTTTCTTCATTAAGTTGCAGTCCCACTTCCGCTGACATTGCCCGAACCGTATCGATGTCATCAAACACCACGTCGACCGCTCCTCCGAATGTAACATCATCGAGAAAGGAAACGTTTAATCTGGATTTCAAAGTTTTAGATATTGGTAGCGTAACGAGGCTGTAGAGCAGGGGTGCTGATGGGTCGCCCTGATGAAGTCCCTCTTCTGACTGGATGATGTGCTCACCGAAAGCCAAGGAAGTTGGCTTACCGTAGCACTGATTAAAAAACGGAAAATATTCTGGCATTTCTTTTTTCACAATCCCGAGGATCTTGTGCCGATAAACACAGTTAAACGCATTCGCAAAATCCAACTTGACAAGTACACGGCATTCGCCCTCCTAACTAACAAACATACGCGTCGCATGAATGGCAGTCTCTGCTCCTCCTTTCACACCGAATCCGATTTGATATGGGAACAGCTTTTCTACCATACGGTGTTTCTCTCTGCGACAGATGATTTTTGATGCGATACGGCGGATGGTGTTACCGACGGCAATGGGGCGAATTCCGCCGTTTGGTTTTTGTAAGCCAGTGAGTGTAGCGCCATATAGCGAGGGGAGAATTTCGTCAGGCACTCCCCCTGAGATCATCTTCGTCACGGCACCTGCAAGTGCTGAGCATAACCTTCGTTTGTGCTCGTTCGTTCCCTGTCCTAGCAAGTCTTTCACGTGCTGGGGCCGCATACCAAACAAACCTCCTGAGGATCCGTGTGGGAACGAACGGACGGCATCGAGTATTTCATTAGCGGTAACGTCAGAGATCAGGAACTGAGCTTGGGGCTTGTCAACCGGTGTCGCATGGGCACACACCCGAGGATGCTTCTCCTGTAACAGCAACGCCGCTTCTGGGGATGGACGAATAACGTGATCCGTCGAGCATAGGGTTTTAACTGCCGCCGAAATAGCACAGTCCTGGAACTTGCTATTTACTCTCCGTGCAATGGCTTCGTCAGGATTGGATGCGGCCTGGCGGGGAGGGTTGTGAGGGGCGGGGGCTGCGCCACGGGCATTGAGATTGAGTCGCATGGCAGCCGTTACAGATAGCTCTGTTTTCTCTACTGGTAGGCGAAATATATCAAACGCAAAGGTGCTTAGCTTCATCCATGCCACCGGTGTGTTATCTGAAGAGCATTCGTTAAGCACCATGCACAAATCGTTTGCAACAGAGGTTCGTAACGCTCGGGGAACCCGGGGGGCCAACGGGGTAGTAGCGCGAAGCTTCGCCAGTGTCTGAGCTTGGTTTTCACACAACACAGTGGCGGGAATCGCAGATTTAGTTGAGGGAAGGATGTTTCGTACCTTGCTTGCTTGGGTTTTCAGACATGTTGATTTGTTGCGATGTAAATCCAGACGAGTGAAGAGCTCTCCGCAATCTGGGCAGGCAACTGGCTGTTTTGCAAATTGGGTTCGTACAGGAGCCGGAGGTGCGCTCGAAGAGGGAGAAACCGTGTTATTCTCCATAAATCAGCAGAGAAAATATCGTGATGAGATCATATAGAAACGAAACTTACGTCAGTAATGGTCGTGGGCGCTGGGTACTGCGGGACAGCTGCCACGTCAGCTCGCTGGATATCTATCCAGCTACGTCCCGCAGCCACCCTCCATACTGGATGATGGGAAATTTACCATCCAGGAATCGTAACAAAAACAAAAACAAAGTAAAAGAACAAACGCAGCAAGGAGTAGTAGTTCACTTAATTGATTAACTTTAATTAAAATTACTAAGCTTGTGATGGTACTATAAAATGATGATGATGATGGCATGATGCTGATAATCACTGATACGATCCTGTATTACCATGTTACCATAGTATGCTTAAAAAAATAATTCCATCTGCTGTGGTCCACTGGGCGTGGCAATGCAAAAATTATATGATCCATAGTGTTGCATACTGCTTTGCGAGAATTATACTCGTACAATGTTACTAGCACTACAGAACGGGATTTTCTGCTGTAACTTTATTCGGATGTTGTAACTTGTGGATGCTGCTTTAGGCTTTAGCCGTACACCCTTCCAGTTTTCGTCCACCGACGGAAGTAAGTGAAGCAGACGTTCTCATGCCATTCCTGCCAGATTACAAATTTTTTAAAATTGTCAGGGTCTTCTAGACCGTACATGAATTATTAGATATACGAGTACTTTTGAATTTCTAACTATTTAACAACAGTCGCAGGGCATAAGCCATTACTTATGATCCAATTAAATCAGAATAATTTTAATAAATTTTTTAGTGTCTAGCAATCACCAACTCTTGCGGCAAAACTGTCCAATGACTTCGCCGAATTTGCGCGAGAATTGCTGTTTTAATGTGATTTGTAACTTGTGCTAGCACTTTACTCCAGTGAATTTATTTCTAACCATGACATTAGTAAATGTCATGGTTAGAAATAATTTGAAATGAAACATAAAATAGTATCCTGTGTACAGTAACATTCAAACAAACGCAACACAAGCCGATAACAAACATAACAAGCGTAACACAAGTAACATGATAATCATAACAAGCATAACCTAACATACATAAAACCTTTTTGCACGAACGGCTCGTCATAGAGATATCAGAGGCTGCCATTAAAACGGCTGTCCGTGGGTATCTCAGCGAAGGGAGGGCGGCCAGATGAAGTCCGAAAGAATTTCCTGTTGAGGAAATTCTGAAAAATGGCGACGGAGCGGAATCGAACCGCTGGCTACCGGGTGTGTGATCCACGTAGCACAGCCACTGTGCCATCGCCGTTGTTGGCTGAGATCAAGATATTTGTGCTTGAGCTTGAGCCAACCAGGTAGACGGCGGATGGGGCGGCTGTCCTGAGTGCAGAGCATTCTGCTCTGACACCCCTTTGCAGGCTTCGCTACGTCCTCGGAGCGAAATTTCGCAGGAATCGGAGGATCCGCACTCCACGCGTTCTGGGGAGGCGGGGCCATACTGCGCTTCTGCAGTAGGCAGTCTGGTTCCCGTCCGAGCCGACGCTGCTTGTCTGCTACCATATCAGACGGCGCTGGCTAAGCGCGCATCCTCCATCGACAGCGGAACAAAAGCAAACCCGGATGAAGGCTTTAATGCCGAAATCTGAACACACACCGCGCTTGCGCGCAAGCCAAAAGCCAACTGGCCTCTTTAGGCAGCGCAGCTGCGTACAGAGCCGTCAAAATGCATGAAAATGCCCAGACAGAAAAAATCAAAGCCAACCAATGACAGAAGAGCGGAATCATAAGCACGCCCTGACATCCCTGTACTGTCTAACACTGAGCTCCTGCGAAGTGCAGGTAAATGGCGTGATGCGCCGTAAAAACAACAGTGGATACAGGGACCGGTACGGTCCCTGTGCTATGTCTAATAGACTGTACTACCGGGTGGCTCGGGTCCAGTTCGGTCGGCTAACATGGTCCGGTATGGGGAATAGTTCGGTCAGGTTTGGTCCGCCTCGGTCCCAATTTCGTCGGTTCGGATCAGGTTCGGCTCAGGAATGGTTCTGCGCCGGTTTGGCCCGGGTTCGATCGGTCTGGTTCTGATTCGGAAGTTGTATGTGGTAATGCTGCTCATACGCATAATTTTAGACTTCTGAGCTTATACTGGATTTTGGAAACACTTATGGGACACAAATATAATATGCCAACGAAGATAAGTGCTTTTCTTCACCCCACATCCTGAGCAGAGCCCCCAATACACACTACCCATCCTGCAACACCGAGCTTTAACTTTGGGAACCCCTTTCGAGTACGGCCAGCGTTTAATTATTACAAAGCAACAACAAATATTTTCAGCTTAACACTTCGTTAACCAGCGTGATTTCACACCGGAGTTGGCCTTATTAATTCAGTAACTAATTTCAAAAAAATATTTTTACAGCAATTTTTGGGCTGTGTGATTGAAACGTCTAGTTTGCTTTGCTGCTGTTTTCGGCACAGTCGGTGCAGCCGGAAGCCCAGGATAGAAATGGTGGAACTCACCATCTTTTTGGGACATACACGTTCAAATGGTCACACCGTTCAGCTGCGTGAATGTATGATATCGAAAACACCAGGCCATGTACTGGATACAGTGGCCAACTGATCGATTTTCAGCGACATATGAGGCTCAGATCGCCTACAAAAAATGAGGCGCATTGGGAAATTTGGGAGGTTGCCCAATGATGCCGCTGTTCGACTGAAAGTTGCACGTGGAAAACGACCAGAGCAGCTAACAATCAGGCGCGCGCATACCGCTAGGGCAATAAAAGGCACTTTAATTAAAGTTTGAAGACAGATTTTGGCGCCAGAAAAAATAGTTGGAAGTAAGAAGCGAAACTGTGCACTGATCTTGTAGTGCTAGCCTGCAGCGGTAGACTTTCCAAGTACTTCTGACGCGTGCAGCTTACAAAGTACGTAACAGAAGGAAAAGACTAGGAAGCAATAAAATTTGGATAAAATCTTTTACCAGAATTTGGAAAGCCTTGTTTGAGCTGATTTGTAACGTCGGTAGAAAAAGGCGGACGTAAACCGCATTTTACGGCCGTTTTCAGACACAACAATTTCTGTCTAGCGGTAGTGTGCGGAAATGCAGCGGCTGTTTGTTTTGGCCTTTTCATTTACATATGACGCCGGCCTAGGATTGCTATTTACTCAAACGATGTTGGATGCTTTTTTCAATGTTGAGAAGCGAATGCTTTTATTTAATATAAATATTTGCACGCTAATGGTTATGTGCACTGACTGATGCCGACTAAAGGCATACACAGGCAATATCAGTTAGCCTGTTACTTCATTACTTGCTACCGATAGACTGCTTGAAGTATAGTGCAAATTATTTTAAAATATTCAGCTGTATTCCTCTTCGTCCGTTGTGCAATCCGTGTTGAGGTCATTCCCGACTATTGATCTGACCCATTCATAAATTATCATCGAATCTGCATAGAGAGACGGCGGATGCTCGAACCCAGATCCGCTAAAAAATTTTTGCCGTAAAACATATTACGTAGTAATTCCAAAATTTTAAACAATAAGACTTACTATAGCCCTTTATACACTCCATACGCGTAATAAAACTTATCTTTGGATTTGCAGACTAGGGGCGCACCGGAATCACCGTTCGAAGGGCCGGTTAGACGTGGAGTATAAGCACAAACAAAACCAGAAATTGGGATTTGGGAATCGCAGACAACTTTATCCATAATTTGGGTTTTGATTTTTTTTAACTTTGGCGAGATGGCAATAATGTCCGGATCGAAGTTTTCTGAACTGCGATGGTGTACGCGCTGGCCAGGAAGGCTGGTGTTACCCCATCCGTACACGTGGCACTTATCTTTGTTTGCAATCTCCCGGGTTGCTGGAGTCGCAAAGCATAACGGCTGAACATGCTCGTTCAGATCGAGAGGCTGTGTTAAAGCCAATTTTTTAACATGACCGCCACAAGCAGCTTACCACAGAAGCATACCGGAACTTACTTGAGAAAACTTGAGTAAAGAAGCATCGTACACTACTCCTATTGTCGTGTCAGGATTGTATAACGGATTGACTGTTCTGCCAGGAAAATCCACAATTTTTGCTGTGGGATCATTCTTCTCTTGCACATCCCATGCCCCAATAAGGGCACGACAGGTTCTTCTTTCACAGAATTTGCACACGTGGGCACTTGTAATCGCGTAATTTCGCGATAGCTGAATGGAAAATAAACAATCAGCTAATGCCACGATTTTAAAGTGATCAAGGTTACCAAAAATCCACCGCTCTCAACTTTCATCTGATTTTCTCCTGATTCAAATATAATGGCAATCATGAAAGGAATTTCATGGCGGGAAGTAACTTTTCCTCCCGCGATTGCGTCTATTTGTTTAAAAGATACTGTGAGAAGAATAACTAAGCCCCAATGAAACACCATTTTGGCACAATCTATGTATATGTATCTATAGTGAATACAGCTTAATAGAGACGTTTCGTTTACCAGTTGCCGAGTGTTGGCGTATCAGTTGTAACCAGCTTAAATAGCAATGTGCTATCCGCGTTACACGTAGCATAAGATCAACGGACCCCTCGTTGCCTGTTCAACGTGAACGTTGTTTAAAGGACGAAATCTTATTAACGGACGAGCCACCAGTGTCCTTTAATCCTAACGTAGTGGTAAAATCGGACTCTGATTGCTTGTCAAAGAAACAAAATTACTTCGTGACAAACACTCAACAGATTACAAATACCTCGAGTTGTATACACTCGACAGATTTCTCTACAGATTACCTATGCAATCTTTGAGTGAAAAAAGCAGACTTGAACGCAGGCTCACGAATCGCGAGCTGAGCCATAAAAGTAAACAGCTGTCGTTTGCAACGCTGCAGTCTGAGAGATGACGTGGATAACTGAGTATCAGCAACTGGATATCAATCCACCTGGTTCCGGGTGCTCCCGCTTTTCCTTTGAAGCAAAGTAAAAGGAACCCATTTGGCTGTGTATAATCAGACGCTTATGAAGTTCGGTATCCCCACGTACATCTTGAAAATGAACTTGTTAGAGAAGCAGAAGAACCGTACCTTCTAAGTCACGTTAGTCGCCCGACCATCAAAACCCATAGGACTCAAATTTACGAAAGCTGGAGAAGCACACTAGCATGGAGGATAAACAAACTGCTGGATGAAACGTACCGCTGTGGTGTTGATGTTCTGAACTTGCGTACTCCGAAGTGTTTAATAGCCGAATTTTTTATGTCACAGCTAGCGCCTAAAGTATGGCTGTCCGTGGTTATCCCAGCGAAGGGAAGGCGATTCCGTGAGGTATTCGCAAAAATGGCGATGTAGGGAAATTGAATTGTTGACTACGCAGTGTGATCCACACAGCAGATTCACGGTGTCAGCGCCGCATTGCTGGCTGAGACCATCGTATTTGCGCTTGAGCCAGAGCCAATCAGGTAAACGATCTTTCGGACGGCTGTCGTGTGCCTCGAGCCTATAGATAACAGGAATACAGTGATAGTATGGATCTGTAATGAATATACACTGCTGCACTGGTTCGACAAAAATTGTTGCGTAAAAGACTGCATGACTGAGTTGGGTGCTCCCGATTGGTGTCAGTACTGAATTGAATTGGTTGGCTCCCGCCCCAAATGTAATTTTATCTAATCTTTCTGGATAATGAAAAGCAGTGAAATCAAGAATTAGTGTTGCAGTGCGACACGAAGCTGACGTTCAACTGAAACACCATCGTTCTGACTTGTACACTTGCCTATTGACAATATTTACGTGAAACGACAAATCACAACAAACAGCATGTGATGCACAAATGCGCATGTCGGTTAATTCAAATCACTTTTGCGCCGACAGACAACGTCTGGGAAGTGAATTTCTATCTGGTGCAGCGCGAAAGCTGCCGAGGTAGAACCTAATAAATTTTTTCTATGGGAAAACACAAAAGCCGATTTCAGCTAACAAACATCTGCCGGCAATTGGGCTTTTCACATTACCACTGTCCAAACCTGCAGAACATGTTCTGCACTTTGTACTGCTTCATTATTTTAATTAGATTTGTATAGAAGGACAAAATAATGCTGAAGCTCAGACATCCTGAAAAAAATCATTTGTTGTAAAAATCATTTTTAATTATCGTTTAATGTTCACGACATTTACTCCAACGGGTGGCATGAGCGTGCAACATTGATTAAGGCCATGGCTAGTTCGGCTTTATTCAGTTGAAGAAGGTCGGTTTTTAAGGTTTTTGAAATCGTATTCCCTTTCTTGATACTTCGTTATATCCTGTTTAAATTGAGAAAACTTCACAACTTAAAACCAGAAAAAGTGGCTGCAAAAACACGGTTTAAAAGCTGAATCGAAAAAATCGCGCTAAAAAATTAAGTAGTCTTCGGGTAACCAAACAGAACTTTAGAATGACCACCCAGAAAATCATGTACATAGTCGTCCTGCACCGAGCTAAGGCTTTTTTTTGAAAAAAAATATTTTAAACTTCACAAACTTTAAAAGAAAACATATAGGGTTCTGATTTTCGTAAATAACTTCAGAGTTAAAACAATTTTTTTCAAAGTAGTTCTCGCAGTTATACTTCTATTATTCTATAGGTATTTCTATATCCAATGCATCAAAATTAAGAATTATTTTTGATCGCCTGAATTATGTTTGATTAGTTTTTAGTTTTCAAACTTTATCTGGGGCATTTTAAACGGTAGTTTTCGAAAGTTTATGTACGTTTACATCACTCATGGCGACTGTTTCAGCCCACCACACATATCAAACCATAGGGACTTTCCAGGCAGCCATTGTGCGCTTAACGCCAACGCGTGCTTCGACTTCAACTACACCATCTGTAGACGTGAAAATTGCAGATACCGGCACAACTGCGGAGAGTGTGGAAAGATGCACCCATATTCGAAGCGCCTCAGCGCGTATCAGGACAACCAACCATGCAGCAGAGTGAGCAGGGACAGCGGCGGTTTTACTAGCAACAGCTTATTGAATTTGTACTCTTGCCCTGATGTTTTCTAGTATCCCATTTCTAATTTTAATGTTGTAAATATTTTTTGCGACCTTTCAATTGTTTCGGCTCATGGATTACTCAACAGATGCAGTTTTACCAAACATTCAGATGCTTGGCACAATTTGCTGTTTAATCAGCCTAATCACGAATTCGCTATAAGCCGGAATCGCATTATGATAAGAATTCGAATTTCTACGATGAAATGTTTATTGCAAAACAAAAGTTCATAAAATGTTACAGTTGCGAAAAGCTGTGGCAATAAAATGTCGTAAATGTAAAGTGAAATTTAGATGTTGCGAAATGTCGTAGTCATTAAATGTACTCGGTGAGGTTTACATCACTTGCAAGTTATACGTACTTGCATCACATTTGCTGTACCCGCGCGAGTTTAAGGGACAGAAAATTGCCCTGGACCGCCCGCACTAGACGTCGGTTTCTTTGATGTCAAAGAAGCCGACGCCTAGTGCGGGCGGTCTGGGGCAATTTTCTGTCCCTTAAACTCGCGCGGGTACAGTACAGACTTGTCATTTGTAGCTGACAATCTAGCACACTTTTCACTATCTTGTATTGCACCTGACCGTGAATGTTAATTTTGTTGTAAATATTCCTAAAAATTGGAAATTCTTACCTCAACTGTTTATAATGCCGCGTAGATAAAACTGAATTTTGCGGACAAAAAACCCGGTTTTGATACGCCGCCGATGTTTCTGTTCATGACAATCGTCGTCCTTATTTACTGGTTTGCGCGACGGCTTAGAATGTGGGAGATATCAGCACACTACATCCCGTCGCACTCAAAGCGTCGAAAATATCATAGCGTGCAATATTAATCGTCAGAGTTTGGCATATGAACTGAAAGTTGGATGTGGTAATGCTGCTCATACGCATAATTTTAGACTTCTGAGCTTATACTGGATTTTGAAAACACTTATGGGACACAAATATAATATGCCAACGAAGATAAGTGCTTTTCTTCACCCCACAGCAGAGCCCCCAATACACACTAGCCTATCCTGCAACGCCGAGCTTTAACTTTGGAAACCCCTTTCGAGTACGGCCAGCATTTAATTATTACAAAGCAACAACAAATATCTTCAGTTTAACACTTCGTTGACTAGCGTGATTTCACACCGGAGTTGGCCTTATTAATTCAGTAACTAATTTCAAAAAAATATTTTTACAGCAATTTTTGGGCTGTGTGATTGAAACGTCTAGTTTGCTTTGCTGCTGTTTTCGGCACAGTCGGTGCAGCCGGAAGCCCAGGATAGAAATGGTGGAACTCACCATCTTTTTGGGACATACACGTTCAAATGGTCACACCGTTCAGCTGCGTGAATGTATGATATCGAAAACACCAGGCCATGTATTGGATACTGTGGCCAACTGATCAATTTTCAGCGACATATGAGGCTCAGATCGCCTACAAAAAATGAGGCGCATTGGGAAATTTGGGAAGTTGCCCAATGATGCCGCTGTTCAACTAAAAGTTATACGTGGAAAACGACTAGAACAGCTAACAATCAGGCGCGCGCATACCGCTAGGGCAATAAAAGGCACTCTGATTAAAGGTTGGATTCGGGTCAGCTTACTAAGCAAAGACAATGGATGCGAGCCTGCGATCAATTAGCAGATAAGCAGAACGTCTCATCAAAAACATTCTTTCTTCGCCCGTAAATCTGGCGCACGTACTAATGAATTTCTTTTGTCTCAGTGGTCAGTGTTATTGGCCAAACCTCATTAAAACAAGAAGTACGACTGGCTAGAAGAACTTACAAACCAATGGGATGCTTCTGGTGATTTCCATCAAAAAAGTCAGCCCGGCTGCTCAAAACTGCTAATCAGCGAAGTGTTAATGAACTACAGCCACTTGAACAGGGATTAATGCAAAACAAATGAATGAAAATAGGAATAACCTTGGTTGGAAGAGAAAAGCAGCAGACACAAACGACTTTACTGCGACTGGATCTTAACTGGATCTTCGGCCGCATTCCTGTAACTGCTGGCAAGTCACAAACAATTACCACACAGACAGGAGATTAAAATAATACAAGTAAGAGCCAGAGTCGATACCATTCTGAGAAAAATTAATTTGCAAGCGCGAAGTGCTGCAATTAACCTTTCGTCAATGAATGTTGATAAAACTCAAAACATAACTTACACAAGTAATTACAGTAAAAATTATTGAGGAACACGCGACACGATAATTGTTTCTGTGCTGCTGTCCGAGTAATAAGCCACTTATTTAGATTTACCTTTTCAAAAAAATTCTCGGGAGTAGTTTCTTTTTTTGCATATCCTGGGCGTGATATGCCAGTTCTTCATATCTGTCTGTACGTCACGCAATGCGGACCAATCGCAGTAAAGGGTATGTGGCTATGGCGTGAACAAAATTGCTTTTCTTGGTTTGCATAGTTACAGTATATTAATATACTGTAACTATGCAAACTAAGAAAAGGCTGAGGCTATTTTGCCGCAGTAAGAACAATATACATTTTTGAATACACTTTGTTTGTTATTTGTACGCGGAAAATTCTGTTGGGAATGCCCTTTATGCACGGAACATATCCGGTTGGGAATATTGTGTAACTACTTTTCTAAAAGTTTAAAACGCACAAAGGTGTACAAGTCTCATTATTGACCGATCCTCTTCAAATTTTGCAGGAAAACGCATGCTACCATGCAGATCGTTTTTCCATCGAATCAGCTTTCCAGTTTCCACCATGTTTTCCAAATTTAAAATCATTAATTAATTAATTACATATTAAAAATTTTAAACCGGAAAAAATGTGACAATAAGGACAATACGGCATGAATTATTTTAGGCTGACTTTTTTGACAGCATTTGACACAATTTAAGACAAGGTTAATTGAAGGTTAGCCACTGGGATCAACTAGCGTTTAATGTTACTACGGCGTTCTTAATGAAATAATCAAGCAGAGTCCTGCAAAAAAGAGCCAAACGTAAGCCATAAATGAAATTCAGACCATACAAAGTCAGTAGTAAAGGAAGTCAGAATTCATAAAATGCAAAAATAAAGTAAATGAAGTAATACATGTAATTGCACAGCAGTGAAGAAAATGTTAAGGTCACGAAACATAATAATAAGTATATGGCTTTTATTTCTCAATATGTACAAAGCGAGCTTCGCTCGATCAACAATGATAATCAAATGAAGAATTTGTCCCAATTAACATGAGAAGGGACTGAGTTGTCAAATTAAGTATATGAAAAACGATTATTGAAAACAGCACTGAAAAAAATAGAAAGGTCACTTCTTTATAGTGGTAATTTGAGTACGGTCAGGAATAATGACCATTTGAATAGGCGAACTGTACGGCTTATTAAAATCTTATTATTTATTAGTTTAATATTATTATTTTATTATTATTTCCGATCCTTGAGCTTTATTCCCGATAAAGTGCAGTAAGCATCTTATCTAACAGTTTTCGTTTTTCATGTA